TAACTTTATCAAATTTAATCCGATTCCAAAGTGGCATACCTCTAAAGACTTGTGATTCGATCCTCTAAAAATCTGCATTCAAAATTTTCGATTTAACGTTGGTCAAATTTTTGACCCATTTTCATGTTAGTTATTTCTAATTTTCCGATGTGTTGAAATAGAGTGACTCAAAATTGGACTTCTAGATTCCATAACTTTACCAAATTTAATCCGATTCCAAAGTGGCATACCTCTAAAGACTTGTGATTCGATCCTCTAAAAGTCTGCATTCAAAATTTTCGATTTGACGTTGGTCAAATTTTTGACCCATTTTCATGTTAGTTATTTCTGATTTTCCGATGTCTTGAAATAGAGTGACCCAAAATTGGACTTCTAGATTCCATAACTTTACCAAATTTAATCCGATTCCAAAGTGGCATACCTCTAAAGACTTGTGATTCGATCCTCTAAAAGTCTGCATTCAAAATTTTCGATTTGACGTTGGTCAAATTTTTGACCCATTTTCATGTTAGTTATTTCTAATTTTCCGATGTGTTGAAATAGAGTGACTCAAAATTGGACTTCTAGATTCCATAACTTTACCAAATTTAATCCGATTCCAAAGTGGCATACCTCTAAAGACTCGTGATTCGATCCTCTAAAAATCTGCATTCAAAATTTTCGATTTGACGTTGGTCAAATTTTTGACCCATTTTCATGTTAGTTATTTCTAATTTTCCGATGTGTTGAAATAGAGTGACTCAAAATTGGACTTCTAGATTCCATAACTTTACCAAATTTAATCCGATTCCAAAGTGGCATACCTCTAAAGACTTGTGATTCGATCCTCTAAAAGTCTGCATTCAAAATTTTCGATTTGACGTTGGTCAAATTTTTGACCCATTTTCATGTTAGTTATTTCTAATTTTCCGATGTGTTGAAATAGAGTGACTCAAAATTGGACTTCTAGATTCCATAACTTTACCAAATTTAATCCGATTCCAAAGTGGCATACCTCTAAAGACTTGTGATTCGATCCTCTAAAAGTCTGCATTCAAAATTTTCGATTTGACGTTGGTCAAATTTTTGACCCATTTTCATGTTAGTTATTTCTAATTTTCCGATGTGTTGAAATAGAGTGACTCAAAATTGGACTTCTAGATTCCATAACTTTACCAAATTTAATCCGATTCCAAAGTGGCATACCTCTAAAGACTTGTGATTCAATCCTCTAAAAATCTGCATTCAAAATTTTCGATTTAACGTTGGTCAAATTTTTGACCCATTTTCATGTTAGTTATTTCTAATTTTCCGATGTGTTGAAATAGAGTGACTCAAAATTGGACTTCTAGATTCCATAACTTTACCAAATTTAATCCGATTCCAAAGTGGCATACCTCTAAAGACTTGTGATTCGATCCTCTAAAAATCTGCATTCAAAATTTTCGATTTAACGTTGGTCAAATTTTTGACCCATTTTCATGTTAGTTATTTCTAATTTTTCGATGTCTTGTAACAGAGTAACTCAAAATTGGACTTCCAGAGTCCATAACTTTACAAAATTTAAGCCCCCGTTGTATAGATATAAAACTTTTTTTCGCCTCAATTGCAAGAATTTCTCTGCCAATCAATATTTAATTGCGCCAACGTTTTCCATTCGTAGCCCCGGTCAATTGTGTTTTATTAAAAGTGAAAATAAAGTGAAAATCAATAGATAAAATTGCTTTATAACGAGGAAAATTGAGCAAACAAGGATGACAACTTTGCGGGACTTCAGTCGCCAGAATATTTAAGCAGTTGGAAATGTAGGAAGTTCCCATTGAATATTAAGACATTTTCCCGTCCGCCAACGCACTTAATTACAAAAATGGTTGACCTAACGCTGGTGGGCGGGTAAAACTGCATTGGCCGCGGTATCAATTTTCCATTCGGAGGCGAAGGGCGATTTCCCGACACGCGAGTTGCTAAACATTTAATTGATTCCGTGGCCCTCAATTGCCGACTCCCGTTTCCCTCTCGATTCGGGAAATTTCCGCTTTTAGAAACTCTATATTACCTATGTATTTCATCAAATAAATAAAGGAGAAGCTGATATACAAGATTTAAAGATTTTAGTAAGAAATTCACAACTACTCAAACAGGCCTAAAATCTTTTCACCAAGTGCAAAGTGCATCAAAACAATTAATTTAAATATTTTAATATTTTGTGTTCTTGGTAACGTTGAAATATATCTCCAGAACTTTGAATGAAGTTTTAATTCCAACAAGCGTGGACATTTTCTACTATTGTTTTGCCTTCTGGTTAAATGCAATATAAACCTTTTTTTTTTAATGTAAAGACATTTAATTATGTACGCTTTAAGAAAAGATAATATAAAGCTTATAGACTCACGCCTTATATCGCATTTTCTTTACCTCTTCCAGGTGCACATCCAATCGGATTTAGCTAATCCACGGATCTGAAAGGGAGGAGCAGGCGTCGGTCGTTGGAGGCGCCGGCATAGAGAACTTTTCCGAGACGCGAGCGCCCAGCGGAGCAGTCGCCACCACGACGTCGACTTCGCCGCCGCCGCCGCGAGCCGCGCTGCTGTCATCAGCCGAGCATTTGGACGCCAGCGCCGACGATCGCGGGCGTGTCTACAAGCTCCGGAAGAAGAAATACCTGAACGCAGCCCACATTACATAGGGAGTCGTCGGAGGAAGAGGAATCGGAACGGGAACGGGATCGGGATCGGGAACGGATCTGTGCTAGGAATCGGTGCTAGGAGTTTGGATTAGGAGTTAAAACTGGAAAAAGGTTGCTATGCAAATGACAATGACAATGAGATCACAGATTAAGCCCATAGGTCCCCATGTTATCATATCATTTCAATCCCCTAAAAAGAATTATAAATTCAAGAGCAACGATTAAGCATGAATGTTCGTTTCTAAATATAATTTAAAGCTGTCTATAAAAATATCGTATTGAAGTAACAATCTTAATTAAGAATATGATTTCGCTTTTGATCTTATATTCCCATGTATTCCCTAAGGAAAGAAAGTCAATGAAGTACTGTAAACCTTTAAAATCCTCATATATTATTCAAAATTAAAAAAATAATATATCACAATAAAAATTATATGGTAGATAACAGTATAGGATTATAACAAAAATAAAACATGAAATGACAAACGAATTCAAAATATCTTACAATTGAAAAAGGTTTATATATCAATTGTAAATGTTTTGCAATTCATGTTTAAGAGGATTGCTACTAAACATTTTACTATCCTTAGTTAAGTTAGCTTCTGAAGATTTTTGTAAAAGGCAAGCTTTTTATCTCATTTAAATATCATATATCAGTTTATCGACTGCCAAATATTAAACAAATGTTATTCTTCTTTTTAGCATAATTTAATCCCAGGAGGAATCAGCGAGAGAGCAATGCCCGTGCAATCCCCCATTGAGATCAGCAACCGTGCCATCGAGCACATCGACGATGTGGATCCGCTGGAGTACCACGGCCACTGGGAGCCGGTGGGCGTGGCCCGGGTCCAGAACACTGGCACCTCCGCGATGGTCACTTTCAGCAAACGAAAGCAGCAGCCATACGTAATCGGTGGTGCCTTGGACACGGACATGTACGTCTTCGAGCAGCTTCACTTCCACTGGTCGGACTGCGACGAGTCCGGCTGTGAACACACGCTGGAGGGCATGAAGTACTCGATGGAGGCCCACGCGGTCCACTACAATGCCAAGTACAAGGACTTCGCGGAGGCCAAGAACAAGCCCGACGGTCTGGCCGTGGTCGCTTTCTTCATCCAGGCCTGCGGCGAGAAGGACTGTCCGGAGTTCAAGAAGATCACCGAGGGCATCCGTATCGTTCAGAAGATCCACACGAGTGCGTCGCTGGATTCCGGTGCGTTTGAGGATTCACTTTACTGTGGGAACTGAAAAATGTCTTGATTTAAGAACAACTCCATTCAAAACCTAATTTAGATTGATTTTACATATTTTACTTGTTACATTGATGTTCTAAAATTGACTACTACCAGTCCCTGAGAGCCCAGTTTTTTAGCCAAGTAATTGTATTGTTTTGTCTATCTGCTCTTTAGATTGCCTATCGTGGATTGGACTGCAGGAGCTGAGCAAACATTATTACACGTACAAGGGCTCGCTAACAACGGCGCCGTACTTTGAAAGTGTCACCTGGATCATATACCGCACGCCCATCTACGTTTCGCGTGGCCAGGTGAGTTTACATCCCACCGGAATAAGTCTCAAATTCATAAAAATATCATAAAACCGATCCTAAACCTGAGGAGTTAAGAAAATTGCGATTTAAAAGAACTCTGAAACTGATTCTTTGATTTCTTGTCAGTTTTTTTTTTACCCATTTTGCTTTTTTGGATTTGAGAACTAATCCAGTTAATTTGGAACTTTAAAATGTATAACTTACCCTTACTTTGCAGGTTCAGGTGTTTCGCAATTTGCAATCGTGTCCCAAAGATGAGTCCAAAAAGATAGTCAACAATTATCGCGAGATCCAGCGTCCGCACAAGGACCCGGAAATCTTCTTCGCCCGCAACACCAATCCAAAGTCCAAGTTATGATCTGCTTGCCATATGGCTCGGGTCCTCTCTCGATACTCTGCACTCACCGCTCCTTTCCTTTCGTATCCTTACCCATCCTACCACGCATTTTCCTCCGCCCACTCGCCTGTGAAAAGTGAATCCTATCTAAACTATTTCTATATGTAAACTTATATCTGTCTATGGTTGTCTGTAAGTTGCTTTTGTTATTTGCCTCATGTACATAGCGTTATATATACCTAACAAACATATATATATATACGGAGTAATTACGATATGGTTACGTGTATGGAATCATTTTAGTCGGAGCACGCGGTTGCCTTGCATTGAATATTTCAGAGAAATATCGGGCACAACTACTTAAGACATCTAAAAGAGACGTAATTCTAACGTTTAAGTTAATTAGTTACACAGTTAAAGCGTGAAAATGAGAAAAGCAAACCAACACATTTTATATGTCCCAACTGAATTTATTAAAAATCTAATTAAACATGTATAAAAGTATATATTATATCAAAACATGGGCACATTATGAGCTAAAGTCTGGAACATTATGTCCCGATCGAAGGTAGAAGCTCTCCTTTGTCAAATTCTTCTCTATCACATGTTTCGTTTTTATTTGAGACCATCCTAATTTTCGAGTAGGAGAGGCACTATGTTTTTGATAAACCAAGCCTTGGATATGGCCAAGTGATCACCTTCAACGCCGAGGAAGACGAGTTTTCCTTCGTCTTCCATTTTCTTCAAGCGCAGCTGTAGGTGAAAATATGAAATGAAATAATATCAAAATATATTTATGACATAAAGGGGTATTTCTTGTTTGATTTCGACTTCTCTAAAATGTTTAAATTTTTAAGAATCTGATTAGAACACAAATAATATCAATATTAATAATAATAGAAGTAATATCAATTAACGAATTGTAGTTAATACTTAAATAGATACTTTGTTGGTTTCAACTAGATAGTTTTAGTACTAAGTATTTACGTACATCCTGATAGGTTTTGCTCTCTTTAAAAGGCTGGATGACTTTGTCCTGTCCGCTGGTGTAAAATTGGAACCACTGAGACTCCTTCGGCTGCACAATCGTGTCGTTCAGGAACTTCACCATTACAAATCTACCAGAGCAAATTGTTTGATTGAATTATTTTAGAAACAAATGTTTATGCAAATTTGGAAATTTACTTTTTTAGTTTATGGAGATTCTCTATGTAGAACTCGTTGAGGTATAGTTCATTGTTGATATCCGCTAGAAATGTACTGCCCAGGCGGTAATGGTTCTCCATCAGCGGATCGTGCCAGTAAGTGGCCTGCACCAAATTACGTTGCACCTCACTACAAAGAAGGGGTAAAAAACACAGTTTAGAAAGAGATGGAGACGTAGTGGGGGTGGGGCTTTATACATACATATATCCAAAAAATGCTTTTAAAGAAGCAGAGAACTTTGCACATATAGCATTTTTTATAAGCTATAAACATTAAACATTTTAAACATTACATTACTTCTTCTAATCAACAAAAAAGCCTGGTTGGCAAAAAGGTTGCAAAGGTCATAATTGTATCTAATAATATCAGATCTTTTAGTATCTTCGTAACTCACTCTATCTTACTCTATCGAAACCCAAATTTTGGCAATGTTGGGATTAGATGTTATCAGAATGTTAGAAGATTGATAATTGAAGTATTCAATTTATCATATATATTGTCTTATAAAAAACCATCGAGTAGTATTATTAGGCCTTCCTTCGTCCGATAATATGGTTTTGGGTGGTTTATAGTTGGGGCTCCACCCCAGGACTCACTCTGAGTAGACGGCCGAGTTGAGGAGCCTGCTGATGTAGTCGCAGGTACTCTCGGAGAGCGTGGGGCACATGGGCAGCCCGAAGACGCCCTGGTGCTGGCCGCCGAGGGTGACGAGGGTCCTCATCGGCGGAGTGGGACACCGCTGGGCCACCGCCCGCAGGAACTGGCCGCCCTGCGAGAATCCGATGGCGTTGTACCCCTTGGCCAGGCGCTCGTCCTGCAGGAGCTGCTTGCATACGTACTCCACCTGCTCGTTGGGATGGAGGAAGAAGCCGCTCTGGAAGTCCAGCAAGATATTACCCCCGATCTCCATGGAGCGCACGTAGCCGCCCTTGGTCTCCTCCACGATCAAGTCCATAATGCCGCCCAAGCTGAAGGGCGCACAGCAAGTGTCGCCCATTCCGTGCCACAGGACGACGGGCAGGACTTCCGGATTGGTGCCCCCGGCCGTGGGTTTCCACCAGACATAGCCTATGATCAGGATCACGATCAGCAGAAGCACCAGAATAATGCGGCACATTTTAATAGCTATTTGGAAACATTTAATGGACTGCTCGATAGCAAAAACAAAGAAAGACTGTGGAAAAGCAACGGCTGAGTAATATAATTAGGGTATTCCCCTACTTAGGCCAGAATGTTTCTAACCACTTGTACCTAATAACTTGTCAAGTTAGCATTATTTAGGTACTTGACAATTGTTTAATTATTTGTAGTGTTTTTAAATTGGGCCAACGTCAAATAATGAATAAATGATGTGATACATTTATGATTCCATGATTTTTTATTTCCATTTACGTATATTAAAATATCAAGATTATTTTTAGTATGATGGAAATAAAAAGAAATCCAACTGCAAGTGGCCATCTTAATTCAACCAATGTCAAATGCATCGTAACCAAATATCAAAGTGTTGTGAAACATTTAAATATCTATTTGACTGGCACAATTGGATTACCTTTGCCTGGATTCTCTTCTTATTAAAGGTACTTATTATTAAAGGGACTCAATTGGGTACCAGAAACGGGTACCCTTAACAACACCTGGAAAAACAGCTGATTGAAAGTTAATGGGAATAGGGGAATACCCTAAACGTGAACAGCTGATTGCTTGTTAATAGCAACATGTTTATGTTTTTGGTTTGAGCTTATCCTTTATTACTAAATGTTCAGTTTACATTTAATAAATGAAAAGCAAGCGTCCTAAGTAATACATTAAATTGCGCCTTTACGTACGAAATTGCGTACTAAGAATCTCATCATGAAAGCAATTTTACAACAGCGTGGTAAAATAAAACTATCCTTAAAGGAGTGTGATTTAGAAAGAACTTTGCTTGGCGGTCAAAGTTTTCGGTAAGTATTTTGCACCACTGACAAACAAGAATACAATAACAATTTCTTTTTATTTTAGTTGGCGATCATTACCTGATGCCAATGGAACGAAGTACTGCGGAGTGGCCTTCAACACCTACTGGGTGCTGGAACAGGAAAAGTCCTGCATAATTTACGAGGCGTACGGAACCACTCCATTGAAAGCAGTGAACTACACATCTTTAATATCAGATTATCTTCGCGTCGATTTCAATTTAAACCATAACCAAAAAGATTGGTTAAGCCGAGATGATAACTTTGTGAAGTTTCTAAGCAAGCCTGTCCGCGTTCTTGCTCAGGAGCCATTTGAGAACATTTTTAGCTTCCTGTGCAGTCAAAACAACAATATCAAGCGGTAAGAATAGGGATATAAATGCGTGGTTGTACCCTTTCATTCACTGCATTCATTATTTCCAGGATATCAGCAATGATCCAGTGGTTTTGTGAAACATTTGGCACTAAGATTGGCCACTTTAATGGTTCCGATGAGTATTCATTTCCTGTGATTGATAGATTTAAAGGGATCTCGAGCAACGAACTCAACGACCAGTTACGAACTGCTAAATTCGGATATCGGGCCAAATTTATAGCACGAACCCTACAAGAGATCCAGAAACGAGATGGACAAGCCTGGTTCATAAGGCTGAAGAGCTTGCCGTTCGAAAAAGCTCGGGAGGAATTGACCCAGCTTCCCGGAATCGGATATAAGGTGGCTGATTGCATCTGCCTCATGTCACTGGACCATTTGGAATCCGTGCCCGTTGACATACATATCTATAACATTGCAAAGAAGTATTACTTGCCACATCTAAACGGTCAAAAAAACATTTCCAAAAAGATCTACGATGAGGTTTCGAATCATTTTCAAAAACTACATGGAAAATATGCGGGTTGGGCTCAAGCCGTGAGTACACTTAAATTTTGACATTATTACATGTTTCCTAATAATATTTCATTTCCAGATTCTTTTTTCTGCTGACTTGGGGCAATTTCAAAAAACATCCAAAGTTGATTGTAACAATGATTCGAATAAAAAGCTTAAAAATTAATTCATGTTGGTGGTATTTGTTAATAACATTACCATTTTCAATTCAGCTAGGGACAAAATATATATCATAATTATTCATAGCTCATCTGTTTGCTATGCAATATATAATAACTCCCATATTTCTTATTTAATTAGGTTGGTATTACTTATAAATTCGAATTGACTTCGAAAGTGATATTTTTATTTGGCTCAATCCGTATTTATTTTATTTAAATTTTATAAGAGCAAAAACTCATGGGTCTTCTTACAATGTTTCTTTATTGCTAAACAAAAAACCTTATACAGATGTTAATGATTAAATAAAATGCACATTAAATGTCCGTTATATACATCGCCATATCCAAATTTATGTGTACAGTGTCGTTCGAATTTAAACTTTCATTTTTGAAATGTCCAACTGCATATTTGTTTAGTTTTGCTTTCCTTGTATTATTAGTAAAATTAATTACAATATCCAAATTTGAAATGATATATTAGGAAGTATCTTTCAAAGTTTTAAAGCTGTCAACATATATCTTTCCAATCTTTTTCTTTATTAATTCATAAGGGGTGATTAACTTCCATTCTTAGATTTTTGGGAAAATTAAAAAAATATCATGGGAAAATATTCAAATATGTTTTGCCCATGGGAAACTTTTAATGCGGCGAGTGAGCACTGTACGGGTATGAGTATCTTTATCTGTGTCCGCATTCGCATCCGCATCCGTGTCTGTACCCTCTATTTGTTTCTTTATCCATGTCTAAAGGACGCCATTCGATTCCGCCGATCCCGCTGATGCCTGAGTGCCCTGTTGCTGTTGCTGTTGTTGTTGTTGTTGCTGGAGCTTGCTGCTCTGTGAGAAATCGATACAGGCGCCGGAGGTGAGATCGATCTCCTCGGAATCGGATCCATCGGATCCTTCATCGGAGTGCCCGGAAAGGGCGGCCATCCCGCCCAGCTCCATGCCGTGCGTGGGCGCCTTGTAGAGCTTCAGTTCCGTGTAGGTCTTCGATAGCTTATCCTGATCCTGGGCCTGCTGGTGTGCCTGCTGCTGCTGCTGTTGTTGTTGCTGCTGCTGCTGCTGCTGGAATGCCGGATGCATCATGGTGAAGCTCCCGGCACTGGGTCCATTATTCACCTCCCCCATGTCGGAGTCCTTGCCGCCGGCAGAGAGGTTCTCGGGCGTCTGGCTGGGCGGTCGAGCCGGACCTGATCCTCCCACCTGGCCCGCCCCGCCGCCCATGACAGGAGGCGTGCCCAGGCTGAGGCAGCGCATCCGCCAGGCGTCCTGGAGCAGCTGCAATCGCGCCTGCTTGCGCCACTTGGCCCTCCGATTCTGGAACCACACCTGGAAAAGACACAATGGATTCGAAAATTTCAGGAATTAATTATAGCTCCTCAGGAGTTATATAAAATTTTTAAATTGTATATATTTCCACAAATTAATGATATAACTTAAAAAAATAGGAATTTTAAAGTATATTCTAGAACCCATTTAATAATGAGTGGAATGATCAATAAAATGTCAATTAGAGAATTATTTTACAGCCACTTAAAACCATAAATGAACTATTTTTTAATTACAGATGAGCTTTTAAAAATCTCAACTCAAAGTGTGAGAGTAACTCAAGTTATGAGTAATCTTCAAATTTTTCCCAAAATAAAATTTATCGTCGGTTTTAAATGAAACAATTCTGCTAAAATACTTTTGCTTTATTTAAAAAAAAACAGATTCGTCTAATTTTATTTTTTTAACTCATTAAACGTAAATCAATATATTTTCCCTAGTTTACTAACTGAGGATTTATTAAAATATATGGAAATCTGTTTTGGACAACAGTATTTAGAATATTTTCCTTTGCTTTAACCAGTCAACGATTTTAGCAATCAAATGTTAAAATAATGTAACAATCATTAAACTGGATTTAAATTGTGGTCTAAAATTTAAAAACCAATGAACTTAGTTTTTTAATTGCAAATATTAAATGATATTTAAGGCTGTTGGATAACTTACAAAAAATATAATATTAAAATATTATACAAAATAAAACTAAATAATTACATATTAAAGGATGCGGAAGTCCATCTATAAAATAACATTTCTGTTAATATTTTAGCAGAGATTAGATTGAAACTGCCCCAAAAAGTATGCTACTAATTTTGAATTCGCAATTCCTTTGAAGTTCGAATATCGATGGGCGGGATACTTTGCCTGCTCCTTAAGGGGATTCACCTGGACGCGCGCCTCGCTGAGGCTGATCCTCAGAGCGACCTCCTCGCGCAGGAATACGTCGGGATAGTGGGTCTTCTGGAACAGGGCCTCCAGCTCCTGCAGCTGCTGGGGCGTGAAGGTCGTCCGATTCCGGCGCTGTCTTCTCCGCCCGAACATGTACTCCGTGAGCAGATCGCCGGGCAGCGGCGATATAAATGGACCAGCCATTATTAGCGTTATTTTATGTGGAAAACTTCGTTTTCTTGATTGGATTTCTCGCGTTTGTTAGTCTATTTGGTTTTATATTTTAAGCTGGAAAAAGTTTAATGTTTATTTTTAGCCTTAAACTCAAAATATTAACGAACATTATACATGTGAAATTTTTTCAAACTTTTTTTAAACTTTTATTTAATATATTTTGTTTAACGAAATTTCTTCACCAAAAAAATTTGTTGTAAAGTTTCTAAATTTTGGTCTTAGATTTTGTACTAATTACTGTTCATTATTATTATTATTATTTTGATGATCTATTTTATTACATTTTTGTAATAATTTTTTTGTATTTCAATTTGTTTTTTTGATATATTTTGTTTAGTTTTTTAACTTTGTTCACTCACGACACACGAAACAAAAAAAAATTATTTTTTAAAATTACATTTTTAAATTGCAACCAGTTGGCGCCACCAAAAAAAATTGCTTGCAAGCGAGGAGAGGATATTCAAGTTTTGTCTTTTGAAGAGCTGCTTTTCGCTAAGCGTTTAGCCAACGACTGTGGAAATGCAGGCAGCATTCTGCGGCTTTTATGCAGCTGCCAAAGGACTCGGGCTAATATATGCATGTATTTGTATTTGAATTTGTATGTGTGTGAGGGTGCGTCTGCGACTCGGCTTGTAATTAAGGACCTCACCCACACAGTTTGAAACCCAGCTAATTGTATTTTTTAGAGCTTACTTGTTGCTTTGAAATATAATTTAAGCACAAAAAATGATTTTTACATCGTACATTTTTTAAGTAATTTTTTTGAAAACTTTTTGTTTTAGTATTACGATTTAGTTATTTTATTTGTTTTACAATTAACTCTCGCGTCCCTTCTCTCTCACTCACTTTGGCTATTGCCATCTCCCTCTTTCCTGGACCACGTTGCGCATCCTCCGAAAGTTAATCTCGCTCTCTGATTTGTTGCAGCTAAAGCTTTCTCCCTCGGCTCTCCTTTCTCCCCGAATTGTTGTTGTTTATTGTCTTCTCGTTTTGACATCGTTAAATTACGGCACAAGCACAAAAACCTTATAAGCGTTGTTGTTTTGCCTACAGTGGGAACGGAATATTATAAAACAAAAAAAAAAATATTTAAAAGGAAAATTATTTTTAAAATCTGTATTGCATCATTAAGGTTGATTATTGTCAAAATGTTTTTTCTAAGTCCATGTACACTTATTAAATAAAAATATCTTAATTTCTAACTTGTCAATTTCTTAAGAAGTTTTTGATTTTATTAATAGCTAAAATATTATTTTTTAAATAATTTAAATATACTTAATGTTAAAATCTGAATCGCGTTATTTTATTTAATAATATCAGGTCTATAATAGAATACACCTTTTTAAAATCCCATATCAATATGTTTTCTTGTTCGTAACCATTCTTTTAATCACATTTTGTATTTAAATAAACCTAAGTTCTTTTAGTTTTTCTCTAATTTTTCTTATTTTTCTACCCGCAATTTGTTCCACAGTGCCTGTATTGTTTTGTATATAAAAAGTACCTGTAAATAATAAAATTCAAATCACTTAATGCTGCCGGCAGCGGCGTTGGCAGCGACGTCGACGACGGCAGCAGGACAATGACAATAAGGCAACACCCCGCACACACACACACTCATACACTCGCAGGGCGAAGGGGGAAAAGGAAGAAGATGGTGTGGGGGAAAAGAAGGAAGAGCACAAAGGGCGCATAAGAAAATGAGGTTGCCACCACAGCTGATGATGAAGATGAAGGTGGATAATGGGGGTAAGGGGAAAAAACAATGACTGTCTCTTCTTTTTCACCACCTCCCCCACCCCTTTTCACCCTCTCCGCATTTATGTGTGTGTGCTAAACAAATGAAGGGATGTAATTTTCTCATTTGCCTGGCATTGTGTTTTGTTTTTGTTTCGCCTTTTTCGCTTCGCTTTTTTTTTGCGCTGCGCTTGCGCTGGAAATTATATTTATTTATTATTTATGAAGAATAGGCGTGGCACTCCACCGCCCCCCGCCTACTTTTCGCCACCTGCCGGCTCTTTTGTGTGCCTCCTTTTATTTCATTTGCTTCCTTTTGCACACAAGCCAATCATAAGCGAGACCAGATGTCCTTGTGTGTGTAAGTGAGAGAGTGCGTGTCTGTGTGTGTGTGTGTGAGGGTTGACCAGGATGACAAGGATAACGAGGATAACGAGCTGAAAACAACTGACAGCGCGACGTTGACAGGCTCATTCAAATTATGCGAAATTATCACAGAAATGTTTCATTGTTTTCGGAGATGTTTATTATTTGATGTTAAGGCTCTTACAAATTATAATATTTGTCGAAAATATCCAAATAATAATAAATTTCATAAATTTTAATAGTTTTAAAAGAATAAAAGTATATTTCATTTTAGCTTGGAAACATACTATTTTGTAAGTTCAATTATTTCAAAATTGTTGATTTTAATGTTATAAAAGTTTGACGTAACATAAACAAGAAAGGAAGAAAGATTCAGCAAGCCGAAGTTTTTATACCCTGGCAGCTATTTCAAAGGTTTCGAGTTCGACGTTAAAAACCATGAAGCAAGATAAATTTTTCGATAAATTTTTCGATCGTTCATATGGCAGTTATATGATATAGTCCTTCGATTCTTATAAAACTAAGACCGTATTTTTGAAATGGCTGTAAAATACTGGGAATATATGGATATATGTTAAGAAACAACGATAGGCCGTTCCCACTTAAAAAGTTGACTTTTTGACAATTAGCTTTAAAACTGAGGGAATAGTTTGCGTAGAAACAAACAGACGGACATGGCCAGATGTCTCCTTCACTGCGTTGCAAACTTTTGACTGAAAGTATAATACTCTCTGCAAGGGTATAAAAATGTGTATTTTGGTTAGAGTACACATAGACTGGAAATTATATTTTTACAATATTTTGGAAGTTCAAATAGTTTTAGAATATACGTATCTTCAGTAAGCCTTTATATTACGGAGATCTGTTAGCGAAGGACCTTAGTCAAGTTTTAAATTGATAATCCCAATTTCTCTGTATCATTTGTTAAAATTATTTAATAATCTTTTGTACATCATTAATGAAGAGTTCTTATGTATTTGTTATTGCTTTTGAATGTTTGTAATTTTAACAAATTTATTAACTGTATCTTTCACACTTTTCGTCTCGTTTATTAGCACTCTCCCTCTTTCTCTGTTATCTCCCTCTCTCTTCCTCTCTTTTTTTCTGGCATTCCCTCTGCGCCATTTTTAATTTTGTAATTTGATGCTGGGCTGTTATGCGATTGTTGTTGTTTCTGTTTCCCGTTGTTGTTGTTGGAATTCATCAGGCAACGCGTTTTCCACCTGAGCGAGGAGTTTTCCCACCCACTTTTCCCTCTCTCTTACTCTCTGTGTATGTGTGTGTCCATTGTTTTGTCGCGCTGATTGGTCTTTCACTCTGCATGTGTGTGTGTGAGCCGCTGTTTACGTGTGAGTATGTGTGTTTGAGTGACGGAGAGCATTTCATTGTTGTTTTCCATCTCGCTCGCGCCTTTTGCTGCCTTTGTTAATTATTTATTTTAGCGCGCTCCTCTTCTTCCGGTTCTCCTTGTCTCTGTCTCTGTTTCCCCTTTTTACCCCCGCTCTCTACTTTTCCTGCATTTATTTACCGTTTTTTGATTTAATATGCGGCAAAAACAGAAACAAAATGGCGTCTGCTTAATGCGCGCTCTAAAGTAGGCAACACTATTTTCTAGAGAGTTTCGCTTACAGATTTTGTATATGTGTGTATATATTAAAAATAGTTCTTAAGTTTACTTAGTTATTCATTCATAATTGTTGATTAACCAATTGTTAGTAATCAAACACAAATGTGTTCTACTATAAATCAATTTTATCAAATTAATTAGTATATTTATTTTTTTTTTTTTTTTTTTTTTTTATTATTATTATTTATTTATTATTTGATTAGCGCACTGCTACTCAATTGGCAACTTAATATAATCAGTCTTTAATATAATCGGTTTCATTGGGTCTTCTTTGTTGCTTAAGACTAATAATTTAACCTAGACATTTTAGGGAGAAATATTGCTGTTGTTGTTATTGATGATGTTTAGGTCAAAACCCGGTCAGGTAGGTCTTGAGGGTGGTGTCGCTTTAGTCTTTATTTATTTTTCAAAATGATATTTCATAAGTTTTCGCTGAAAAGTAGGCAATGGTTTTCGTTGAATCAAATTTTCGTTTTGAAGAACTTTTTATTGGTTCAAAAAAGTTTGTATTTTTATAATTGATTGAACTTGTTTTTTATTACTAAGCCTTTACGTACATCCCTTTGTATTGAAACGCAAGACAAATCAAATGTTCATAGTAAAATTGTACTTATAAGAATTATATAGGTAAAAATAAAAGAAAGGTATAAATTGCAAAAATATGTTAAACGTAAAAGATTTTATTAATATGTAATACGATTCAAATAATTTGTTTATTAAATAAATATATAGCTTGTAAATCAGATCCTTACCAGCTTCAATATATATTATGTTTGTGCTATTCATAAACTTTGTTTTACGAATTTCGAAATTTAAATATTATTTTAACTTCAAGATGCCCGACATAAAAGGCATATTTTTAAATGGTTTCAAATGGCAAGAAAATTATAAAAACATTATTTTTGTTGGATGGATTCCATGGCCACATTTCCTGCGACATTCTCTTAATACACAACAAAACGGAGAATAAACAATGCAATTTTGCGTGGCTTGCGCGAATAAAGATGTATTCCCTGCGGTGAAAGAAATGATGATGTTAGTGGGTGGTTTTCAACAGGATTTTGGGTGTTTTTACGCTGTTGTATGGTTGGTTTCTTGGCCGCCAAAGACGCTAGTTAATTGGAATTTTTAATTATGATTTGTCAATGCCGACAAAAAAAGCCGAAACAATAAATGATGAGGGGAAAAGCGGAAACAAAAAGGAACGCAGGACAAAACACGAGGTAAACGGAACCCGCTGCTTTCGACTTGGGAATGTCCTGGTGCGAAGCCAAAAGGATCACAAATGGAGAGGTAAAAATATAGAGTTGAAATTTGTTGTTTTATTCTGTAAGGACATTACGCATAAAACTAGGTCCTTTAATTTCACCCCTCTCGCTGCTGTTTATTTAATATTTTTGTATTACACTCTCTGTTGCATTTGTAATCATTTTAATTGCCCTAATAATGAGTGCAGCCTCCACTTCCTGCCCCTCCCCCTACGCCCACCTGGCACTCGCTTATGAAAATCATTAAGTTAATTACATTTTTTGCACGCCAGAGAGACAGAGAAAGGGTGAAAAAAAAAGAAAAACACAAAAATTATAATCAGCGCCACACAAAAGAACACCGTGATGTTTTTTTAGGGGGAAGGGAGGCGAAAGGGGGCGTGGTCCAGGCGCCTCAGCTGAAAAATGGGGAAAAAATGCTAAAAACAACATGAGAAAATATTTCTCATAATACTAATTGCATAGTCACAATGTCATTTTGCCAGGGGGTTGGGTAAATGAGGGGGGGTCGAACAGGAAGGGAGGTGGAGGGGAAAGGGGGTTTAGTAGGCGCCCATGACAGCTGTCTGTCAGCGGAGACGAGAAAAACGAGATGAGAGATGTACTTAACAAAAAAACATGAATCTTGTCTATATTCTTAAATTTAAATACCAAAAACTGCTTTTTTAATGCTTACACTAATAATGAAATATTAAATTTTAATATAATTTCTTGTGTTACTGCGCTCAAAATAAATCCGTTAAAACCATTTTCAAATTTCGAATTCTGTACGAACTATGTCTCTATCCAAAAAATTACATTCGTTTTTTTTTAGGAACACTTTTTATATTTTGTAAAGTAACTTTTTAAAAAATAAAAGAAAAACAATTATTATTATTATTAGTTTTTTTTCCATTTAAGAGGGTACACTGTTAAATGTGAAAATACAAATTATATTTATATGAAGACAATTAAATTATGATATTGACTTTGTTCGAAAAAAGAACTCACTCAAATTTCAGCAATTTCGTTGCAATTTTTAGAGTAACCAAGTTGAAATTGATTGAACTGTCAACCGTTGACAAGACAATAATGTATTTTATTTTTTAGTCATTTTTCTATACTTTTTTTGCCGTGTGCTTAGTAGGGGAACGGGATGATGAAACTGAATTTATGCTGGAAATGCAGCCAAGCAAAAACAACAGCCACGATGACGGGGAGGACGACAAACCGCCGTATCCGGGAACTCAACTCAACTCAACCAGCAAGGACTCGGCATCAGTCAGAGCCCGGTTGCATTTCACAAAAGAAAATGAGTTGGAAAAAAAAGTAATTAAAAAAACAGCAGCAGCGGCAGCATCAGCAGTAGTAAAAGAGTATAAGAAATGGATATTTCGACCCGGTTAAGACGAAAACAAGATGAGCTACTAAATAATAAATTACACAAAATGTAACCCACTAATGTTTTTAATTTAAGATTCAAAAATATATCCATCAATTATTTCTGAAGATTTTAAAGCACTGTAAGTAAAAGGGATCATTTTTAAAGATTAAGGATAACGAGGGTAAAAGAGCATGTTGTTACAAAAATCATTACAATAAAGTGTCCTACAAATCGATCATTTTCAAAATATGATTGGGTTTACAAAAATGTACCATTAAGAAGGTTAATTTTTTAATGCCTGCTGGAATATTTTCCCTCCGAAAACAACTCTAAAAAAACAATAATTAGGTGTATATTATCATATCTTGAGGATCTCATGCAGTTCCAAAGGCCGAAACGAAGCTGTCCTGTCAAGATGTGGAATGTCACAGGACTTGAGGCTGTCGCTGCTCGGATAAGGAAAATTAAAATGCATTAACACAACGCAACAATGTGGGCAAATGTTAACATTGAGCGCTAATTTGCCACATGCCGCTGTAACTGGAAAATGTGAAGGCTTTTTCAGAGGAGTGAAAGCGAAGGGAAAATACGAGGGACAAACTGAGGAACCATTGACAAAGGAAATCGCATCGGTATAAGTTGTTACGGGAATAAATTGAGGTAATGCGGTGGCGATAGATAGTGTATTTAAAATTTGGTTAAAATTAAAACTTTTCCATTTTAAGAATTAAAAACATTGAAAAATTGCATTTTAAGTTAAGTCAGTATGAGCGTGTGATTCGGAGAAGATTCGGGGCTTCAAATTGTCAAAACAAAACACCAATTTTTTGTTCAAATAACTAAACACAACCTTTTGTTTTTACATAAATTTAAAACATGTTTATCCAATAAAAAGTGATACAATCTTCTCCTAAATATCTATTTAAAAATCAACTGTGATCTTATGGCACTCAGATGGTGGTTATATTTTTCCCAACCACACTGGGAAAGTGCCCAACTCGAATTAATCATCAAAAGTCGAGAAATTATTCGCATTCATTTGATCAAAATCAATTTTGTAAATTATAAAGTATTATGGAAATTTATGTGAATGAATTTATAAATGCGTGCACATATAAATCCTTTTATTTTTTGTTGCTCGTCTCAATGGAAATGCTTTGAAGGAGGGGGAAAATACGGGGGAAAAAGCAGCCACAGAATCGGATGTTGCATCAATTATATTGATTGCATTTGCATTGCAGGTGCATTGGAAAAGTGCAATAATGCAAATGCATTTTGTTTGCAATTTTGATTTTGATTGAGTTGCGATATGCCGAAATTTATTGGCCAAAACAAAAATGGCAAAATGTATTTGGCCTTGTCCTGTTGTAGATTTTAATTTAATTAAACATTCTGGTCAGATGTCGTTGATATGGTTGTTTTGGTTTAGCCTTTATTTGTTAGTTAGAAATGTTTTTTTTTATTATTAATGCTTGCTTTATGATTTTGTGTTTATCCCCGGATTGTTTCGTTGCCTCCGCCATCTTGATTTATTAAATCTACGAAGGGAAAATCCCCTTACTCACGGTCTTTTTTATGAACCCCTGTTTTCCTTTGCCACCGCACCCCTTCCCATGGATTTTCTTCTCCTTTTATCCCAAGTTTTTCGACTCGAGACAATGAACAGCGACAGGATTTTTCATTGTTTACCGCGAGTTGAGACCATAAAACTACTAAACAAAACAGCCGCGCCCACTCCGCCCATCATCAGCACCAGCCAGTGCCGCCCCCTCAACTCTCCTCGCACACTGCAAAAAACAATATTGTATTTACTACATCTAAACAATAAATATCTCTAAAGAATGATCATGAATAATAAAGTCAAATTAATAATGTTATTTTAAGGCAACTCCCTTGTTATGATTTTTATTAATTTAATCTAGTCATTGTGTGGATAGTAAATGGATTTGGATATGGATAAATCCGATTTGGAATAGGACGTTCTTCAGTGGCCTCTTGTTTCTCATGGACGATTGTTTGAAGGGATAAATTAAATGGCTGTTCCTACTCATCCTGGACCACCCAATACTCGATATGATCGTCCTGGATGCTATCCCCATACACGTCATCGTCGTCCTCGTCATCCTCCTCCTCCTCGTACTGCAATGTATTCGCGGGTGGATTCGGAACAGTCTCCTCGAAGTAGTCATCCCCGGTGAAGAGTGTGGAGTACAGGGCGTTTATGCCATACACGCCATAGGTCACACACCCCGCCAGCAGAAAGCATATGGTATAGGTGATAATCCTGTGGTCCGTGCCAAAGTAGCCCGTATTCACCAGAATCACGGCTATCTTATAGGCGAATATCGGGATTTCGATCCAAACGGAGGTCGGGTGCTTAAAGAACGGCTCCGGTTTGATGTGCTCCCAATCGCGCCGCAGGATCAGATCGAGCAGCGAGTCGGAGTCCTGTTCGGAGCTCAGCAGACGGAAGTTCTCATCCAGGACATGGTACAGGGTCAACCGGTCGAAGGCCGAGAAGCGGCGTCGCAGCGTCGAGGGCACAGGTAGATCGATGAGCTCGGCGATGGCCAGTTTCACAGCGAGGCAGTGCGTCGAGGTGGTGGCCAGCTGGTGGAGCACCAGCTGCAGCTCCTGGCACTCCGAACAGAGCAGGAACAGCCACTCGCCGGTCAGCAACTGCTTCCAATTCTCCTCGTCGATCCCGGTGATGATTCCGTTTCCACTTTCACTCCCATTTCCAACGGACGAGTATCGCCGAGTACCAGGTCCCAATTCCGGAGGATTCACCTCGGTCCTGGAAAACGAGAGCCCTAGTCCGAAAACCATTAATGGCATTACAAGCATCTTATTCACCAGGCATTCCATTTCCTTTAGTGAAAGTTTGCAATTCTCGTTCTTTAACACAAAATTATTCAGCTTATTTTTTAAGGGAACAATTTTCCAGATCTTTCCTTCGACACTTCTGCTTTTAACCTCGAAAACGAAATGACAGAGAGCCGGTGAACAATGATTTGGCAGGAATCGGAAAATATGACCTCATTACACAAACCGAGTTGTCACCTAAGCTTTTGGTATTTTTTTAGCAGTGCATAACCTAAAAGATGCGATATATGGGGAAAAGAAAACAATCAGGTGACAACTCGGATAATAACTCCGTTCGTGTAAACAGGTCCTTGAAAAAGGTTGCAACATTAATTCCATTTCTTTGATTTTCCTTAAATTTTTCCAAGTGTATAAGTTCAGAGGCAGCTTAAAAAATGCGATATTTATAAAAATATTAAAAACTCCTTTCCTATGAACGAGAATATAAATGATTTTCCTTACACCATTTTTTCAGTGTACGAAAGTCAGAGGCAGCTTGGAAAATGCAGTCAAGCAAATGCACGCGGGTTGTGGGGAAAGCGGGGGTTTTGGGTTAGAGGTGTGGGTTCAGGGGCGGTGGGGTGGGGGGTAGGTGGGCGAAGGAAGAGGGGTGGGGAGGGAAGGGGACAGGGCAAGATGGCTGCGGCAAAAATTAATCAAAACATTGCATAAAGGCAGCAAAAATAATAACAATAACAATGTAGAACGTCAGGCAGAAAGCAGAGAGACGTTGACAGCAGTGCCCCACCCTGAGAACCCCCACCCCCTTTTCACCCACTTTCCACCCAACCCCACCGCTCCTCCACCTTCCCCTCCCCCTTCACCTCCATTGAGATGATGATGATGACGACGCCACTGACACAAAAGCAGCAAACAACTGTCGACAAGGATCTCATTTGTTATACTGATTATGTTGGCGCCTTCCAATGAGAGACAGAGACAAAGACAGAAAAGGAGCGACAGGGACGGCGATAGGGGGATATAGTCAGTGGGGTGCGGGGGGGTTGCGGGCAGAAAGGAGGACTTAAGCATACTGAAATTGCTAAACAAAAAGCACACCAAAATTCAATTCACATCAAATCTCTTTGCAAGTCAAGAATTTTGTCATTCTTATGATTATGTTTATTTTCGGATCGAAAACATAACAAATAAATATAAATAATTGGTGGTGTTTTTGGTTCTCCTAACTATTTATCCATTTTATAGCCTATAATTAGGATTTTTTTAAAATAAGAAACCAAATAAAGCAAAGTGCGCTTAAAGATAATATTTTGGAAAAGGGAGCACTGTTTGGGTTAAATATAATTGACATAAAACGGTTGCCAAAGCCATTGCCTCTTTTATTAATAAGTCTTAAAATTACAAAAGTTGTAAAATACATAAAAGACATGATTCAACACCACTTATTTTTGTTAAAAAATTAAATTAAAATAAATCTTGTATTACCCGTGCTCAATTTACTTGCCCATGAAAAACACATTTCATTATTTTAGTCTTTATGTGATGGTGTTTTTATATTTGATAAGTTTAAAAATTCCTAGTGGAAAGCTCTTAAAAACAATTGACTTATACCTTTTAAAAAGTTTTCTAATGACATCAAGCGGAAAAGGTAACATTTTCATCAACGTTACGTAATTGTACAGAGTTTAATCATTGTATCACGTTTATATATTCAGATGTTAACCTCTGAGCCACAAATCACCATCAAAAACAAATCAAAAGCAAATCAACTAAAAATAAATCAAGAAACAAAAAAAACAGCAAGCAAAAAAGTTAATTCATGAATCAAAGAGCATTCGTAGGCCTTGAACTTGAACAACAATTGTTGGATTATCAAATCAAAAACGACAAAAAAGCGGAAAAAGAATCAAAAACAAAACAAAACCACTGGCAGGGAAAACGGGGTGAAAAGGGGGAGGTTAGTGCAATTAATTAAAAAGCTAGATTCACACACACTCGCTGGCAGACAAAAAAAAAAAGACCACATGTGTGTGGAAAAAAAGGCAGAAAACTTTGCACAAATTAAAAAAAAAAAAACAAAGAAGAATGGTCGACTGTGCATTCGATTCTCTTCTTATTCCTGCACTCACTCTCTCTTTTTCTTCAATTTTTGCCCTTTAATTGCCGATATCTTTGATTTTTCAATACCCAATAAAATGATAGATAAGTAAGTCGATGTTTTGTATTCGTTATAACAATTTTATTTAAACATTGTCGAATCATATATAGAATTTTTAATGCTTTGTAAGATTAAAAAAACTTAACTTTTTGAAAACATGTTTCAAAAGGCAACCATTTTTTGTTTCAAAAGTGTTTAATTACATTTTTTTAAAACCGTTTTATAAGATATTTAATAGGACACATTATTTTGATCTCTTCATAAAAAACCTTTATAAAGGTGTACAAAAAATTTAATTAAACACTTTTGAAAAAAAAAATGTTAACTTTTATATCAAATAACTTCCATATAAATTCAGTTTAACAACCTTGAATTCCTATTTTTTACAATGCAAACTGAATTAACCTTGACTTTCCTTTTAAATCAAATCGTAGCTAATTAAATTCAAATTAAACCAATGGCTGAGAACGACACTGATCCCCAATTCCCCATTTCCCGTGGCTTAGTTAATTGTCAAAATCATTGTATATATAAAATAGAGAGAAGTTATTTTTCAACATTTAAATTTTCGGGAAAGCGTATTCAAAGTAGTATGCGATCAAAACTGCCTACGCCGTTGTTCTTGTACTCTTGTAGTTGGTTTCGTGTTTTTTTCTGATTGAATTGAAAACATTTTATGCATTTGATTTAATCAAAAGAAAAATAGAATGCAGTCAGGTTCACCAGGGCCGTCAGAGGAAAAAAAAAAGAGGGGTAAACGGGGGGTCAAAGGGGTCACGGGGTGGTGGGCATTGAAATGAAATGCAAAATGGCATTCATTCATGCAATTTGCATTGTTTGACGGTCCCCGGACACAACAAGAACTACAACAACAACAGCGGCCGAATAAACCTCATCCACTTCCGATCAGTTCGACACCCCCTTTCGTCCCGCCTCCCCCCGCCCACTCCACCACCCCCTTTAAAGGACAAACGCTTAGCCAGCCACCTGTGCCCATCGCAAACAATAAAAAAGCAAAAAAAAAAGATATGACAAAGATAAGCGGCAAACTAAGATCCAGTGTTAGATCTTAAAACGTTTTACATACATTTTCAGAAATACATATGTTTATTTATTTTTTTAAATACTATATTTAAGCGTTAAAAATGTTTTTTTTCCTAATTTTGAAAACCAAAAATATAGAGTAAAGTCAATTTTTATTTTATATTCCTAACATTAATGCTAAAAAAATAATAAGGTTTGAATGTGTTCTTTCTTTATAGACTTGTATTTATTTTAAATTAACATGTATACGAGAATATAGAAAAGTCATAGTTAATCTAAGGAATTAAACAATTTGTAATTATATATTTTAATTATTGTTTAAATCAGTTTACAATGGATAATGTTGTGGGATCCAAAAGAAAGATTTGGGGTCACCTTTCTGCAGCCACCGGACAGAAATACCTTAACCATCATTAAAATGGTAAATTGTAATGTAGATCTAAGAGGTATAATTCAAGTAATTGCCCAGATCCAACTACAATTTTAAGTCTATATAAATATTTAAAATATTTTTGAGGTGTTTCTCTATCAACGTTACTTTTAGCTGCACTCATAAGTGGAAAACTCTGATTAAATCAGATAAAGTCCATTAGATAAGGCCATTCTCTTATCCCCCAAAAAAAAAAAACACAAAGCCCAAATTAACTTTCCCTATAACTTTGCATTTCCACACATGCCCATCCCCAATTTTTCGACCACCCCCATTATAACCATATGACAACCCCTACGGCCGCTGACCTCAGCCACGCCCCTTTTTTCCCCGCCCCCTTTTGGTAGCTGCAACTTTTTGCGCTTGCTTTTTGTTTGCATTTTCTCTGCTGATTTCCTTTTTTATATCCAGCTCTCTGCTTTTTGTGTAATTTATTTGCCGTTTTGCTTGTAATTTGTTACAGTTTTTTAATCTTGCATTGTTCTAAGCAGCAAGATGCAGGGGCGGGGTGTTGGGGGGGCTTTTCGGGGGGCAGTCAGCGCTGACTGACGGAACCGGAATGAAGAACCCAGCGTCTGACGGACTCGCAAATCTGCATCCATTCCTCGGTTCTCCACGGAAAAAAAAACTTAAGATTTTTGGTATATTCTTGTAATATAGTTTTTAATTTTATTATATTTCCTCATAAACCTTAATTACCAATTAACACATAATCTTACCTGTAGACTTATCTTAAATGATTAAATGGAATTTAAAAAACAAAAAACATTCACAAAACAAAATAAAATATTTTCTATTATAAATTGTAATTGAAGCTTCAGAAACGTCAATATTTTTTCTGAGTGTAAAGGGCAGTACCAGTTGAAGGGGGAAAGGGGAAGACCAGCCGCAATGTTATCAACATCATAATCAGAGGCGACGTACTCCTCATTCATTTCAATACACTTAAAAATAATTTTACCATAATAAAATAATATTCGTACAATTGTTGTTGTAACAGTATTTTAAGCCCAAATCTGATGTCAATTCATAATATTACATTTTGTTTAAAACATAAATAATATGCATTGTATGTTCTCTAATTTTAAATGCAAATATTAAAAGAGCTAAGAAAATGTATTACAATTTTTGCCTATTTATTAAATAAATGCATATTATAACCATCTAAAAGTATTAATGGGACTATAAGCAATAGATATAACGTTCATTGCTTCTTATAAAATATTTATGATTTCATAAATTAAGTCTCCGTACGAGATTATTCCCAGTGCATCCGCATCTGTGCACTTGCATTGTCCTGGAGCGACAGGAGCAGCTGCAGCTGCTCCTCATCATGACGTTACTCCCTTCCCATATCCATATCCATATCCATTCCCTTTCCAGATCCAGATCCAGCTCCATCTCATCCTGCTGATTCCCTTTCAGGACCTGATGTCCGAGTTGGGCAAAAGTCATTTGGCCCGCCCACATGTGTGATTTTCCAGAGATGAGCGC